ATGTTGGAAAGCACTGTAAGGATGAGCTGGTTGAACAGAATCATTATTTTTATATAGTTTTATTATGAGGACTTCTTGGAAATATTTTGCAAATGAAACTTGTAGACAATCTTTTTATTTCTTCTTCTTTTTGAAAAATGTATTTTAGTACAGGGTCTACAGGGTCTCACTACACAGATTGGACTCATAGTGATCCTTCTGTTTTCAACCTCCCAAGTGCTGGCATTACAGGTGTGTGCCACCATGCCCAGTCTCAATCACTGTCTCATCATGCCCCGTGGGTGGAGCTGGGGGTCGAACCCAGTCCCTGTGTCTGCCTAAGCAGCTACTTTAATCCACTGAGTTTTCTGGCCAGCCCTATCTTTATTTCTTTTGAATGGCATTAAAATGAGATTAAGAAAGCTGAAAGGAAGGAAACAGATGTGTTTTTCTGGACTCATCATTATTTTTATCCTGGTGGCAGAATGCAAAATGACTTCTGCTGTCAGGCTACCTCTCTCCTCCTCATTTGCTTTTTTAATCCTACAAAGTGTTTCTCAGTTTACCATAGCATCTTACTATTATCAGAACTTACTCATGAAGATTTACATGAAATATTAAGATTTACTTAGAAACTGTAACAGAGATTAGAAGCAGTCTCAGTTACTTTTCTCTCATTGCTGGGATAAAATACCCAATACCCAAAATGAGAGATTTATTTAGCTCACAGTTTCAGTCCATACTTGGCTGCTACAAGGCGGAGTTGCACATGGCAGAGGGCAGCAGTTCATGGAGGTGGAAGACAGCAAAACAGCAAGAGCAATGAGGCAGGCACAGAGGCAACCACAGCAGCAGCGGAGGCAAGTCTGCCTTCCTTGTGTTGCCTTCAGGCTTTCCACCCCAGGCTAGGTGTGGCACTCATACTCATAATCCCAGTAGCACTCACACCCATAATCCCAATAGCACTCACACCTGTAATCTCAGCACTAGATCATAAAGTAGTCACAAACTCTACAAATCTGCCCCATAACTGCAGGAGACTTTGAGGGGACAATTAGACACAAACCATAACAGAAGCTGAAAATGAAAAGGCCTTCATTCTAAGTTATTTAACATGGGGTTAAGAGGATGGCAGAGTACTTCTGAAAAAACTGTGACTTCATCTTGGATGGTTAGAAGTTTCACAGCCCTACCGGCTGACCTCGTGGAGGTGCGTACATCACCCACCTAGTCTAGAACTATTATACTACCAAACTGTTCTTTTCACTTAGCTTCACTTTGGACATCTTACTGTCTCCTCATAAGTCCTGACAGCATTCCTCAGGTCAAAAAACAAAGTGAAAGTGTTTGTGGAATTCAGGATACATATTAGATTTTTCTGAAGGTGGTGTTCAACCCCTGCACTAGCAGTCCTCCTCTTGTCTATGCTGTGAAGGAACGGCAGTCTCCATGCTGTACTGAGCAGGGGTCAAACTGCTTGCCGCATGTTTGTAGCACCATTAGGTTCAACAGAGTTCCCAGATGTCCATTCTCTATGCCAGAGTTTCTTTTCCAGCAAGAGGTCAGGGTTTGCAGCCACTTCTTGCCGCCCACTGACTCTGCTATTTCTTACTCAATAAGTGCTGTTAAGGTGGCGTCCAGGGAAACATAATGGTACTTTCAAATCTCCACTACAGGGGCATGATTCAGTCACTTTGTTGGAGATTTCTCCTCCTAGCCAGGGTTTGGTTTTGCCCCATTTAAGCCCTAAATCTTTTCAACAGAGCTCTGTCCTTAAACTCAGCACATCACAGTGTATAACAGTATGTAACAAACAGATTTAAGCTAAGTAAAACGAAGCAGTTGGAAATTACAATTAAAAATTGCAAGATATTCTCAAAATGTGCCTGTTGCTGTAGGTCTAAAAGGGAAATGGTGATTTTTTTTTCTGTGTCTGCATTTGCATGAGCCACGGGAATGCCGTAGGCTTTGGAGGTCTTGAGGCATTTCTTCCTTGTGGAGAGCACACCCTGTGAGAGGTCTGTGGCCTTCCTCCGATTTCAGAATATTACAGTGCATTTGCTTGTTACTGACAATGCACACTAAGTGACAGCACTTCTCATAGAAGTGAGGGATGAAGAGAGCTTTTTGCAAAGTTTAAAGGGGGCCTAACTGTTTTGTGGATGAACTTGGTGGAGAAAGCATGCAGTGGTGTGAGGCATAAATCTGGAAAAGGAGCTGTTTTCTAGATTATGGGCTGATCTTTTACTTGTAATCACCCCTCCAGTCCCATTTTTCTATCCCCAACCTTTGCTACTCTAAGTTGGTTTAATGTTCTTGGATCTCTGAGGGTCTCCTGTGTGCTTGGGTACTCCCTTTCCTGAGGTTTGCAGAGCACCTAAGGCATTCAGAAGCACTGAGGTTATTTCAGTGCATGGTTGAAATAAACATGGCACAGATTCCTCAGTCTTTGTAGTTTTTGTGGGATTACATGTTTAAAAGCATATGGTGACTGCAGACCTCCCCTTGCGAGTGTATAGTCCACAAGGACATCAGAGCCATCGGGTGACCAGCTCCTCCCAGTGTGACAATGCAGGTCCCACATCTGGGGAAAGCCCTCAGACCTGGAAAGACCAAATGGGTCTGGCTGGCACTGCTCTAATTTGTAAACCTAAGGTCCAATACCCCAGGAAGCCTCCTAGTCCCAGTCTGTCTGTTACGGTTGGCTACTCTAGCACAAATTCAGGTTTGCACGCTTAAATCCAAATACTTATAAATTATAAATCAAGGGGATGATTGTGAAATAAGATAGCCTTTGTCCTCTTACTTGACAAATGTATGTCAATCATGACCCAAAAAGATGGGTTGAGGTCAGAATTCTCAGGCTCTTGGAGTTCCGTGAGGGGACATGGTGGCTTTGCTGGACCTTATCCCAGGCCTCTGACTTGTGACCCCAGCTGTGCAGCAAGAGGCTCTGCGCGTGTGCAAGCAGACAAAACAGCCCACCTGTCTGGAATGACTTCTCAGTCCTTTCTTAGGGTCCAGCTTAGTGGGGCCTCACAATGGGTGGTAGGTGGCCATTTGGGGGAGAAGCTGGAGAGGTCTGGCCAGTCCTGGGAGAGGGCCAGGACATGCAGCGAGAGAGTGCCAGGGCTTGCTCATCTGCAGTGTGGCTGCCAGAGGCCACATACACTCACGGGCCCCCACTGTGGGCTGTGGGCAGAGTGAGGTCTTCTACAATGAAGGGTTACAGGGCAGCCCCAAGAGTGACTCGCTTCCGTGTGGCTGGGGAACTTTTCTTTCAGCAGAAGGAGGAAGATTACAGGGTGAGGGGACACTACTTCACTGAGGGCCTTTGCAAAGGGAAAAGACTTCAGAAGATGGAGGTGCTGTCCAAATATCACAAGACAGTCTGACCCTCTCAGAGTCACCCCTTAAACTGCACGGCAGCCTTGAGGTCCTCTTTCAGGATGACACGAGCTACAAATAGTTCTGACAAAGCACACTGACACAGTGTAACTCAGAACTACTTAGAGAGTGCAGTTGAAAATTACTGGAATCAAAGAATTTGCGTGAATCGAGGCAGTGCCAACTTAGGCGGGTGCATGGGCTGCGCGCGGCACAATTACGATGGTGGAAGCCACACAGCCTGCAGCGTGGAACGCGCCCCTGTAGTACTGCAGAGTGTGGACTGCTCAGAGGTGTGCAGCATCCCTGCATCAAGGAACACAGCCATACGTCTAATTTTTTCCCTGGCAAAATAGATATTCTTCTAGTTGAAATGTGTTAAAATTCTAATTTGAGCAGTGGGGACACTTTTATTTGATTCTTCATTTAAACTAATCTTGATTGTCCCCTGGGAATTGATGAGCAGAAAATTGGCCCATTTCCCCTTATTTTAATGGTGCGTTTTACTTTCGGTTCAGAAGGGAAGTGAAAACTGAGGGAGTGTCACGTTTTACAAATTTCTCTGTCTTACCTGGTGAAGTCCAGAAGTCCAGAGAAGAGCTTCAGAGGCTCATTTTACAAATTCTTACATGTTATGAAAAATTTAACTTTACTTCAACGTAGACTTACATGCAGAGGGCCAGCCAGCTATAACCAGAGACTCGGTAGCAAATGTTTTTGTCACTAATTCTTGTTGATGCTTTTTTTTTTTTTTTTTTTCGGAACCATGGATCGAACTCAGGCCTCTGCACTTGCCAGGGAAGCGTTTATTCCACTGAACCATCTCTCTGGCCCTTTTGTTGATGCTGAGTTTCAAAGAAAAATTCTTTCAATGTCTTCAGCAAGTTTTATAGGAGCATCTTAAAGCAGAATATTCTGATCATCTTGGTATCTGCAGAGCCATCCAAAAAATTAACTTGATATATTTTTACTTTTTTCTCCAATATCACATTCATTTTATATCACTGATACATGAATAATTTCAACAGAGAAAGCACATCTTTGTGTGTGTGTGTGTGTGTGTGTGTGTGTGTGTGTGTGCATGGTTAGGATAAAAAAAAATGTGCTCTTCCAACCTTACAAACCTCCCTGAAGACCTGAGGGAAGGTGAGGTTGCACTTTAGTTTTCATCCTGCAGGTCATCATAATTCGCTCATGAACACAAATGGGCCCTACTGTGCCTAGCTTGAAGCAGCCCCAGAACCACCAGGGAATAACAGAAGTGGTGAGGAAATTACTCTTCTCTGAAATAAATACACCAGCTTTCCTATTAATATGACCAACTGTGTCACAGAAACAGTCTGCAAAAAGAAATCATCAAAATTTGCTGGTCTCTGAAGTTTTTCCAAAGTGCTCTGTGATTTCTGGTTATTCTTTTACTTCATTTTCTGTTTTGGAGGACTGGAGGGATTGGCAAGGGAATAGAATCATGTGACATAAACTGAGACATCAGGCTTTACTTACCTATCTTATCAAGCAATCTGTTTGATCATACAACTTGCAGTACGTATTTACCACATTTTAGTTGCTATACGTTGGTAATATTAAACTCCAAAATCAATGCTTACATGTGTTTGCTGTGTTTTGTTTTTTAGGTGGGAATCCAGATTACCTAAGTGAACTTTATGAAGGTAGCTATCACATTTTCTTCAGTTTGCACTTAATCAAAATGTTTGTACATAATGCAAATAAGTGAACTAAACCCCTCTAAACTCAGCTAAATACACACTCTCGGCGTTATGTGGGCTGAAATAACGTCACAAAAATCATTCAGGACTGATGGACACTTCCCCCTGGATGTTTACAGCTCTTGTTCATGTTCTGTTCTTGGAAGTAGTAAATCCATTCTGCTGCAACAGACATTTTGGTTCCATAATTGGAAACTAATTACCTGCTTCAAGTCATGACTACCGAGGAAAGAGAGCTGCACTGGTCTCTGGCTATGTCAGGAAACCCAACTTAAAATTATTTCTTGTATAATGAGGAAGTTTGGCTCCCATGAAGGAACTTCAGAGGAAGGGTTTTCTTTAGGGAGAGCTAAACCAGCAGCTTCACCATATCCTCAAGGGCCCCAGTTCTCCCCCCTTGACATTCTCCAGTCTCTTCCACCAACTCTACCGAGGGCTGAGTTGCTCCCTCACAGTTCTAAGTGGATGCTGACCTAAGACTGTTGCTGCTCCCACTGATGGGAGTGAAGGAAGGGTCTTCGATGTTGTCTCCAAAGAAAGAGTGCCTTCCCCTAGCCTCATCAGACCCTCTTCCTATCTGGTTCCTGACACCCTGGCTCATGGTCCATTCGCACCCTCATTACTGGTAAGAGAGATGAGCTGATTTTCCAATAACTAGTCCTAGCCCTGGGCCAGTCTTAGCCAGCTTCCCTGGAAGTGGATAGATTTAAACCATAAGCCAATGAAGGATTCTAGGAATGTGGAAGGGCAGAAACTAAGAGGCCCAGGATATTACTAGCTTTGGACCTAGTACTTTGTGATAGTCTGGTATTTGATTGAAAAGCAAGGTTGTTTTACTAGGTATGATAACCTGTCTTCAACAGATTTCCAGACCACCTCTTTGTCCAGAAAGCTTCAATCACTTCTAAATCATTTCTAAATTTGAAGAAGTGACAGGCTGCATTTCAAGATTTGGCTTGAAATTTCAGAATGATTAAAATTTAGATTGGTTTAAATGTTATCTTTATGTATTCTAAAAAGTATTCTGTTCTCTAATTTTGTATGTAATATACATGCAGACATTAATGTTTTCTCCATAAGGCCATCCTGTGTTTGAATGTTTATTACAAGGTGTGTGTATTTAGCTTGAGTTTAATTGGGAAGTATGTTGTTTCTATCTGCTTATGCATGTTAAGCCATATTTCCTCCAAGCTGTGATTTGGTTGATTTTTTGCATGTGATTTACAAATTTTTCTTTTTATTTGTTCTGTTATAATTTAAAGAAACAATACCTCAAATTGTATCACAGAGAATTATGTGAGAATTGTGATTTTACATTTTAACTTATGTTTTGGGTTTCTTGTTAGTAAAAACAAGATTTCAAAAATGGCATCTTCCCATTGGCCTCAACTCCAACTTTGATCTTTGGGCTAAAATGCCATGATACTAATCTATAGATATTTTAGTAATTCAGCTACTGCATGAGGGGTTGAAAATCATATGAAGAAGGAAAACTAAAAATGATATGTGTTCACATTTGAAATCAGAATAAGTTTTACAAGACTAAAACAGCAAATAGAAAATAAGTGGGTTTTCTGTCATTTTTCATTCAGATTGCAAGGCATACTTTGCTACAAAACAATACTGTATAATTTATACTAGGTGCTCTGAAGCCAGCATGACAATCCTACCTGGAGGAGTTGAGCTGAGGCTGAGTTAGTGATATAGTTTGTTTAGGATGGAAATGGAACTCCTGCATCTATTTAGGATTAAAATATCAACATTTATAGAAATGCCATCTGCAATAAATTCACCAAGAATTTTCTTGGTAATATTTTGCATGTGGTATTGTTATTAAAAACTTTGCTCACTAAAAAAATTGAGCATTTATCCATTCTGATCTATATAGACTGAAATTGATCTGGGACCTGGTATAGCGAGAACACATCCTGATAAGTCTAAGAACTGTGTGCATTTATAGAATTAATGAGTCTGAAACTGAAATATTGGCAAGATTGAACTCTTCAGGAAAGTCTCTCTGGGGACCCACCTTCCAAACCATTTTAAACATTTGCCTTTTACTCAGATAAGAGGTACCTGCCCAGGAGTTAGTGTTGCCCAGCTGAACTATGGTCAATATCTGGGCCCTGCTGTCTTAATATCATCAGGTGGCTGGAGATAAGCCATTTCATGTTCTTGAGTTCACTACTCTCAGCTCTAAAACTGGCAGTTAGACTCAGTCTCTAAAGACTCTTGCATGTCTGAAAGTCTGATAATCAATCCCCCGTCATGGTTGTTTTAAAGATTTCACCAATAAAGGGATCTCTTTGGTGCAATTAAGACACTCTAAGCCAGATTTAGAAATTGACCAACAAATAGTAATTTAAAGATCTATGCTGAAAAAATCTTTGGTGTCATGCAGGTCCCTGCTGCAGTGGATTTAACTCAGCAGCCCTGCCCAGGCTGGTGGCAGCTCAGTTTTTGGGGATTGGTCTTGCTTCCTGATGGCTCTCACTATGGGTGGCCTCCTGTAGAGTAGCAATCTAATGACAACTTCATGCTCCTTCTTTCCCCTTCTCCAATTTAAGACTGGACTGCAACGAGTGACACCACAAACAGAAGCAGTGAAACACCGTCCACGATTCCTGACAAACCTGGCCGGGAGCATCTCTCGGTGAGTGTGCTAACCATGGGTTTCCTAGGTCGCTTTTCAGTGGGTCACATGTTGAGGTACTACGATTGCTTCCGCAAGACACGTTTTTGTTTCAGGTATAAACAGGGCATTGAATGTTGGAGGAATTAACAGAAAAGTTTAAGAAAAGCAATAAAGGTGTTATCTAGCCTTAGAATTACTTGCTTCACTTCTCTACAATGTGTAATGGTTGGTGGATCCTATTTAAAACATCTGTCCTTTATGAGGCAATCACTAGATCAAGTAACCAGTATTTTCTATTCAGGGATATATATATATATATATGCCGCAGATTCTTGATCTGTGGGTGCAGCATGGCACTCAGAGGGAATTTCAGAGACATTGATACGGAAACATAGTCTATGTGTTGAGCCTTATTATATAGGGAGAAGCAACTGAAGGGTGGCCATAAACCCCGGGGGTTTGGGTTGCAATTGGCCCATCAGTGGCTCTGATCCAACCCAAAGCTTCCTCTGATCTTCTCTTTTCTTCTCTCGTCATGCACACGCAGCTCTTCCTGTGAGCTCTTCCTCCTTATCAATTCAAATCCATCCATTTGTCTCTTGGGATGCCACTATTGTAGGCTAACACAGAGTTTAGCAAACTAGAGCCTCTGGAGTCAGTCTGGCTCACCACCTGCTTCTGGGAGGCTTGCAGGCTAAGAATAGTTTTACATTAAAAATAGCTTTTAAAAATCAAAAGAAGAACAATCTTTTATTGGAACACAGTCATGTCCACTCACCTGTATACTGTCTGTGGCTACTTTTGTGCTACTGTGGTGGGTGGGGTGCTGCAACAGAGGCCATATGGCCTGCAACACTGAGACTACTTACGATCTGGCCCATACCGAAAGTGGACTACAGTTGCTCTTCCCTGAGTGACACTGCAGTGTCAGAAGGGCCTTGCTCCCTGATCGCATGTCACCTTCTGCTCTTTCTCCACCTTGCATCCTGAATGACCTTAAGCTCCAATCAGATCACTTCACTTTTGGGTTCTCTTTTCTCTCTCTTTCTTTCTTTCTTTCTTTCTTTCTTTCTTTCTTTCTTTCTTTCTTTCTTTCTTTC